GGTGACGTTGTCCTCACTGGTCACTCGGACGCCTCTTGGGTTGACGACCAGGCTACGCAGCGGTCGTCACAGGGTTACACCTTCAGCCTTGGCTCTGGTTCAGTTTTTTGGCGTTCTACACGCTCGTCTTCAGTTCTCGGCTCCAGTTGTGAGGCTGAGATCTACGCCACAACCATGGCTGCACAGGAGCTTCGCTGGCTCACCTACCTGCTGACTGACTTGGGAGAGCGGCCTCGTTCTCCTCCAGTGCTGTACGTCGACAACAAGGCCGCCATTGCCTTGTGTCAGGAGCACAGACTGGAGCACAGAACGAAGCACATCGCTCTCCGTTACTTTCTTGCTCGAGAGCTGCAGCAGCGTGGCCAGCTTCGTCTTACCTACGTGGCCACTCGGGCCAACACTGCTGATATATTCACCAAGGCACTTCCGCCTGGTGATCATCAGCGTTTCTGCACTTTGTTAGGCCTTGTGCCCACGCTTCCTCACTTGCTGTAGGCTTTGTTTGTACCATGATTTATATATATTCATGCATGCTTGTTCTTGTAGGTAGATATCACTGTACTGTTGTTGTTGTATATATCTCTGTATGTGAACTGGCCTTGTGGCCTTCTTGCTTGTGCTCAGACTGCGTGGTGACGTTGTGATCCACCCTGAGCTTGCTTTGCACTTCCTTACTGGTCTTGTGACTCTCTGTTCTCCCCCACTCTGCCTATGGGGGTGTGTCAAACATATGTATATCTATGTTATAGTTTGGGTAGGCTTAGTGGGGTACACACTGTGGGGTACAACCCCTTAGGTTCATTCTTTGTACCAACCCTCTCGATAGTCGACATCACTTTCTGCCTATGATTCTAACAAAGCCCCCCCCCCATTTTTTTGCTGTATTTAAAGTAAGACCCTAGGGTGTTATGTCCGGTTGATTACGGTATTTGTGCATACCCACCCCTATCAGCCTCCACGGAGCCATTTTCAGCTTGATAACCAGCAGCTGTTGTTATTCAATTCGTTTACAATTAAGTTAGACGTTAATTCAGAACGTTAAAATTTACAACCACTCTCAACCATGGTATAGCCTATTGAACCACGTTATAGGAACCCTCAACAAAAAGCTACACCCACCATAATTTCTCCAACCAAACGTGATCCGCTATGTGACAACCCTAATTCAGGTTGGAGCGCGTTTTTTTCGGGAAGGTTTTGTTGACTCGTGTCATCTGCAGAAGTTTTCAACATGTAGGCTTGGGGCAAATTGCATTTCGGGTCTTGCGTGGAGGCCTGGCTCTGTCGGGGGAAACTCCATTGGATGAGTTTGCAGTCTACTGTTCTGGGCTAGGAAAGGCACTTGAATACTGTCCTAAGTCACACTAGGTTACGTGCTCTAGGCAGCTTTCCTTGCTTTTCGTGCCAAGTTAGTTGCTCGTGCTTTTAGGTTCGCTCCTAGCATTCCCTTGATGCACGCAGTTGAGCACACAAGCAGCTAATTACTAAAACGCGGAGTAGGGCCGCGGTGCCTATTCCTTCACTTGATTTGTTGGAGATATAAAATAGTGCCTTTGCGTGAGGGCCGCGCTAGGGACCAAGGAGATTGCGTTGTTGTATTCACTGTCGCTACCTTAGCGTCGAGTTTTCTTTATCGCGGCCTTGCTTCCCCCGAAACGCTGCGGTTACCACGTCTTCTTCTGCGTCATACGGGTTGTATTCTCACCCAGGGACTTGAGAGTCGATCAACAGCCGTTTCGCACGGAGGTTTTTTGCTCTTTTTTTTTTTTTTTAACGGCCAAGATTGCTTCTATCTCTAAATGGCGACCTTGTCCACCACAGCTTCGTGCGAAACGTCACTCGCCACTCCAGCCGCAAAATCGACCACCGCCGCAGCAGGCGGCGCCGCCGACGAGGCACCAGTCGTAGCCGCGACTCCGCCCGATGCGAACAAGCCGCGCGCCGCCGCCGCCGCTGCAGCCACCCCGCCCGACTCCAACAAGCGCGCGACGGCAACCCTAGTCGCGTTCACCGTGCAATGCGCGCTCTGCTACAAATGGCGCAAGGTTCCGACGCTCGACGAGTACGAGAGCATCCGCGCGCGCGTGTCGATCGAGCCGTTCACGTGCGCGCACGCGCGGAGATGGAAGCCGTCGTGCTCGTGCGCGGACGAGCCGGATTTGGTGCAGGACGGCACGTACATGTGGGCGCTCGACCGCCCAGATATTCCGCAGCCGCCCCCCGGGTGGCGGCGGCGCATCGTGGTTCGCGGAGGGTCTTCCGCGAAGTTTTCGGACGTGTGAGTGTTGGCGGTTTCTCAGGTTGCACAAGCTATGGAGGAAACTAATAATCGCGCAAAGCTCACAGACGTGGAAATGCGTCACTTTCTTGCTTACAGAATGTTTCCGGGGAGTAGGAGGTTTTATATCCCTCCCTTCTTTCTCCTCCTTCCCGTTCGTTTTCTCTTCTTTCTCCTCCTTCCCGTTCGTTTTCTCTTCTTTCTCCTCCTTCCCGTTCGTTTTCTCTTCTTTCTCCTCCTTCCCGTTCGTTTTCTCTTCTTTCTCCTCCTTCCCGTTCGTTTTCTCTTCTTTCTCCTCCTTCCCGTTCGTTTTCTCTTCTTTCTCCCGCTTGTTTTGTCTCGCCTGCTCTGTCTTTGCTCGCTGTAGTTGGGTAGGTGGCGCTTCCCTCTCGCGTCTCTTACCTCTGTCTTTCTGTCTTGCATTTTCTTGGACCCTTTGTTCTTACCAGGTACTACCACTCGCCCTGTGGCAAGTCGTTGAGATCAGTCAATGACGTTGAAAGGTGAGCCGTTGAGATCAGTCATTGACGTTGATTGAAAGGTGAGCTGGGTCGTAGTGGTGGTGGGCCAGGGACGCAACCACCTCATAAAACGGATACTAGTGCGTTGCATTCTCGCCATTCATCAACAGCCGTTCTTGCAATGCATTCTCCTCCTCTCGTATGTTTTGCTAGAATTCATATAATTTATTTTCGCACTCATTGATCTCTACTTTCGCACTCATTAATCTTCATCATCACCCTCCTACTTTCGAGGTGCCTCACAAACGGCACTCATCGTTCTCCACCATTTCCTACCCCCTCCCCTTCTCACTCTGTCTCCCCCTCTCTCTCACTCACATGATCAAGCATTTATTTTCACCACCCACTGTCTTTACATAGTACACTCCTAATCTCCTCGTTTGGTTCACCTCAAGAGCTGGCTTTGAGCCTGCTTAAAAAGCTTGAGTTGAGAGCTTTAGAATGCGCTGATTTTCTTCGTCTCCCTCCCTCACATTGCATGCATGCATCTTTCCCTCTCATCTAGCAAGACACCTTCTCCCTCTCACTTCACCCCTTCACATCCCTCTGTATCCACCTCCATCCCTCTTTGACGCTCTCCACCTGCAGGTTCCTAGCAGACCACCCCAAGTACCGCATGCAGGGCATCACGTCGCGCCAGTTCTCCTTCTCCTCCCCTCGCCCCGCCCCCGCTGCCGCCCCTGTCAAGAACCACTTGCAGAAACGTCCGCAGGACGCCTCCCCACCGTCCGGCCCGCTGGGAAAACGGCGAGTTGCAGCTAGCCCAATAGAGTAGGTGCAGCCTTGAGGCACCTCAAAAGCTGCTGGGTAAAAGAAAATCTACCCTCAGTAGAGGAGCTGCAGCTAGCTTAATAAAGTAGCTGCGCAAGGTTTTAGCCAGTGGCAATCCCGAGGCAGAATTTGAGCTGAATAGGGCAGCTGCGGTATCGTCAGGAGGTGCTGACGTATGATGCCGCTGCTGTGATTGTGAGGTTAGTGTTTCAGAAATACTCTCCTATGCTCTCATGACCTGGCTGCCACTAACTAGAGTAGCTGCAGTGAGGTCAGTAGGCTCGGTTCGGTGGGCTCAGTACCATATGTTTGGTGAGGCCAGTAGGCTCAGGAAGGCAATATCTGGGCACTCTTAAAGGTGTGCTGCCTTCCCTGCCTGCACCACTACGGAGTTAACGCAGGCAACCGGTACAAGCCTATGGCTCGCTCCCCACCAACCCGATTATAGACCAATTATATAATGGTAGCTGGGAATGTGGACACTGGGGTATGGAGTGCAATCCCCATCCGTCCTTGATGTGGAAGAACGGTTGGGGGACCAGTGACTAGCCTTGCTTTTAGATACTCGTCTTACGGCGAGCAGGGGGGGCTTGCTTATTGAGGCGCTCTTTGCACAGATTGATCCAAGACTGGTCTTGTGAAAGCTGCTTTGTAATCTTGGTAATTGCACAGTGCTTCTTGCACTGTACCACATTTTACCAGTTCCACATGTTGAGTGATTGCACATTGCATATTGCACTGTACAGCTGTCAGCTTACCAGCTCCTCTACATACAGTACATACTACGGTATTACAATGCCAAGGACGTTCTGCATATCAAGGCTGGCGGCAAAGCATCAAGTACCGTAGGTCGTACTTCGGCATGTCTTGTGCTCCCATCCACACCCACCAGAGGTCGTGCATACATACGGTACAGTGCGTGTTAAAGAGTATGCCCAAAGCTACACCAACATAATACATCACTACCAGTGTTTCAAGCATTTGATCCCTTTCATAATGTCTTCCACTGCTCGGGCACCTATTTTAAAAGGCGCCTAAAAAATGAAGGCCACTTCTCCCTACTATCATCGTTTGTTCCAGTGTTTGAGGTACCCCCGCCAATTGCACGTGGTCTGCCCCTTCACACACAGGTCCCTCCTCGGGTCCTTGATCGTGAAGTTCCAAAACGCTGCAGGAGCTTTCTCCTTCTTGAGCACTCTCCGGCGGTACTCCATCTCTGCCTTCCACCTGGCGGTTGAGGGGATAAGGAAAAGAGGGGGGCACGAGAGGGGGAAGAGGGGAAGGGAGGGGGCTTTCAGTTGCACGTTGTCTGCCCCTTCATGCACAGGTCCCTCCTCGGGTCCTTAATCGTGAAGTTCCAAAATGCTGCAGGGGCTTTCTCCTTCTGATTGAAGAAGTGGCTTCTGAGACGTCTCAAAACACTTCGTCAATCACGCTGCAGGGGCTTTCTCCTTCTTCAGCATCCGCCTGCCAAACTCCATCTCCGCCTTCCATCTGATAATCGACAAGAAAAGGGGAAAAGGGGGGGAAGTCAATATTGCTGATGGGGTCGAAGGGCGTAAAGTCAATCCAAGGGCCTTCTCATTCTTCTGTCCCTTCACCTGATGGAGAAGTAAAAAAAAAAGAAAAATGCAGGAGCCTATTATTTCTTCAGCACCTGCCTGCGATACTCCATCTCCGCCTTCCTTCCACCTGACATCTGCACGCATCTACACCCATTTTCCCCCATCCACATGCACCCACACACAGCAGTAGGAGCCCAGGGACGCACCTGTTGGGCAGCCAGCAGTACTCCTGCAAAGACGGCCGCATTTGGTCATGCTGTGCCCACCAGCGGGCATGGGCGGCGTCGCTCACGTACTGGTGGTCCCATGGGTACAGCCATGTGCAGTCAAAGTCGCGGTAGCACTGCCACGGCTTCCGCCCCAGGTAGTGAATCCCATTCAGCCGCGCCGGCTCGGCCGAAAACACCCGGTCTAGCATCGCCCGCTGCGCCGCCTGCTGCGCCGCCCGCTTCGCCGCCCGCTGCGCCGTCCCACCCGCACCAGTGTCCCCGTTCCAGGAATATTTCAGCATGCTGACCGACTCGGGCAGCCGGTGCCACCACGCGAAAACATTGTTTAAGAACCCTTGATCGCCGCCGTTGCAGGAGGTGAGGGTGGTGACGTGGGCCATGAAGAGATTAAAGGTGCAGTTGGAGGGTTCTAGCACCATGACTCCGGAATTAAAGAGGTGGCGCGCGTTGCCGCGGGCTGAGAGCTCCGGGTAGTTGAAGAGGAAATCGAGGTTCTTTAAAACAAGGACGTCTGAGTCAACAAAGATGACCTTGTCGTACTCTTCAAGCTGCCACAGACGCAGCTTGCTGGTTGGAGGGGAGGGAGATGGGGTGAGGGAACGGAGACGGAGGGCAGTGTTAGTTGGTGCTGCAATGACAATCATTGACAACCGAAGGTGACCCTGTCGTACTCCTCGAGTTGCCACAGACGCAGCTTGCTGATAGGTTGTACGGAGGGGAGGTGGGGAGGCGAGGAGGGCAGGTGTTAGAAGTGGTTCCAATGGCAACCAACACCACCAAAGACATCACCTGCCACCTGTTGCAGTTGAGAATCATCTTCCACTCACCTGCGCCTCCACTCGTTATAAGGACGCACTTGCCTTGCCACCCCCTCTCCCCCCCCCCCCCCCCCCCCCCCCCCCCCACACGCATCTGTAGTTTCCGTTAGTTACAACTAACAAGTCTTGGCACCGAGTGCGAGTTGCAATGCGTTTCTGCCTTCCCTCCCCCCCATGAACGCATCTGTATTCCTTGCCATCCCCTTCCCCCGCCCCTCCCCCCCCTTTCCCCCTCCGCGCCACCCGCGCCTTCTTCAGCCCCATGCGGCTCTTGCGGCTGATCTCCTTCCTTCCCTCCCCCGCCCGCACGCACCTGTGGTTCCACTCGTTGTACGTCTTGGGGGCACGGCGCGAGGGTTGCGGATGCGCTAAACTCGCTGCACTCACAAACTCACCTCCCACCCCCTCCCTCCCCCGCCCGCACGCACCTGTAGTTCCACTCGTTGTACGTCTTGGGCACGGCGCGCGGGTTACGAATCCGCTCGATCTCTTTGAGTCGCCATCCCGCCTTCTTCAGTCCCCTGCGGCTCTTGCGGCTGATTTCCCGCGACACCAGCAGTGGACCAGGTCCGCCTTCGATCCGCTCTTCCTCATGCTCCTACCCTTTCCCCTTCCCCAACCCCCCTTCCTACACCTGTAAGCCGCGCCCTCCTTCCCTCCCGCCAGTTTCCTCCCCCAATTTCTTCCCGCCCACCCGCACGCACCTGTAGTTCCACTCGTTGTAAGTCTTGGGCACGGCGCGCGGGTTACGAATCCGCTCGATCTCCTTGAGCCTCCACCCCGCCTTCTTCAGTCCCTTGCGGCTTTTGCGGCTGATTTCCCGCGACACCAGCAGCACCAGGTCCGCCTTCGTCCCGCTCTTCTTCAGGCTCCTAGCCAGCACGATCGCGCCGCACACGTAGTCTTCTGTCGTGTGCAGCACCGACGCGTAAGCCACTCGCGGCGCCTCTCGAGACGTCCCTTGGGGTGTCCGCAATTCCAGCATTAGCCGCACCGAACCTCGCGCTTCCTCGGGCGCCCCCACTAGTTCCGCTTCGTGCGCTTCTCCTATTCTCCGAGCCGCGTCCCGCCCTTCCTGTGCTCCCCCTTCCGCCCTGCCCACTTCCGCCAGGGTCGTCGGGTGCGCCAGCTGGCACGATCCGATTGGCTGCAGACGCTCCCCCATGGCAGCAGGTGCCACGTGGTAGAGCCAGATTGGCCCTTCGTGCATCACCAGATCACGGCAGCGGAAGAGGTTCGGCGGCGGGCGGCACTCGGTGAACAGTAGCACCGGCGTCATAGCTGACGTGGACTGAAAGGCGGCGATAGTGAGGGCACGGAGGAATGGACAGAAGAGTGCGAGGGGTGCGAGAGGGTGAGAGTGGGTGGGAGGGAAGGAGGAGAGGTGGGAAAGGGTGGTAAGGGGTGAAAGGGTTAATCACAACTCCGTCATTAACGTCGTTGACTCAAATTCGTCTTAGGAGAAGGGTAATGAGAGGGACGGGGCGCATTGGTCCTTATTCATAAACGTAGCTGCACGCCCACCTTGGTAACCAGCCGGCCAGCCGTCAGCATGAGGTGGTGCCACCGCACGTCTCTCGCCCACGAATCCGCCGGCTGCGACTCGCACGGCAGCGACGCGACCACGCCGTCGAACGACCCTAATAACGAGCGTGCCACTAACGGGGAACTCTGGGAGGGCTCCGCTGCACTAGCGACTTCGCCAAGGGGACTTTGGCCGTCTCCCGCCGCGCCTGCTTGGTCGGACTCGTCTGCGTACCAGTCTGGTTCCGGGATTTCCGGACAGGAGGAGTTCTGCGATTCGTCGATCCATTCCGGATAGATATCGTTCCACGTGATGTTTGCACTCGGGACTGTATAGGGAACACTGAAAAACGTGGTCGTTGTGGGAAGCGACACGTGTCCATCTCCGTCAACGTTGACCTTCGCGATTCGCGACAAGTTCCCGTCAACGTTAACGGTCGCTATTCGCGAAAGCTTGACGCCGTTAGCTTGAGCCCAGAGCTGGAGAAACGTCAGGCCGCGCTCTATCGTCCTGTTGACAGGCTCGCCAGCGGCCATGGTTTCGATCCTAATGTCGGAGAGTACATCGCGTCGCGTCACCAGATTTGCAGCTGGAAGTGATTTGGAGGAAGATTTGTTACTACTAGCGCTTGGCGTCGTCTCGATCCTAATGTCGGATAATAAATCCTTTTGCTTCACTAGCGGCGGATGCGCCACTCTCAAGTATTGGTTGATAAGAGCTACTAGCAGGAGACACGCTGTTGCGTAGTTCCATAATCTGCATGTTCCTCTAAAGGCTGACCTATTATTAGTGCTAGAATCCTTTTTCGACGGAGGCAGGAGATCTGCCAGGTCAATGCGGTCAACGAGGTCAACGTGGTCTACACTACGGCCTTTGCAGTCGCCGACGGCGTAGAGCAATGGGTCGCCGAGCTTGTCGCATGCTACTACTGCGTGTCGCGAGAAGAATGTCGCGAGTCTGCTTGGCTGTCTACTACTAAGTAGTGATCGTGAGGACCTAAGGGGCCTATTTGATTCCAGGCTAGGTCCCATTCTGGAGAAATCGTTCTCTGCCTGAAACCAGCCTGTGAATGATCGCGGAATGAGAGAGTAGCTCAATGAGGAAGTTTTATACTTGCGTGGTTCCTAGAGGCCTCATGGGAGCAACAGGAATAAGTACCAGCATTGTGTAGCCTTCGGGGCGACTCACGGCATACATTAATGAGCACGCTCAAGGAGCCAGATGATTCCAGAATCTCAACAAAACAACATATTTTTGTCTTTCGAGAGACAACAGACAGACACACAGACACAAGGGATTCTGGAGCTACAAGGTCTGAAACTACGGACAGTGGTTGATGGCAATCTCTGCCTGTCTCCCAAGGCAATTGTTTTACTGTATGTTGGCTCTGGCCTGGACTTGGCGGGAAACCTTTGGTTGCCATCACCGAGCCGGGGTCTGGTTTGCTTCGGAATTCGCCAAGTTGGTAACCACTTTCGTCGAAGTTCAAAACACCCGTGACGACGTTCGCTGGATCCCAACCTGATTCATGCCATCCACATTCGAAAGGATTCTCCCTCCCCCACGCACTCCCGCGAAGAGAATGTCCTGACGGAGCCGCGACTGAGCAACTTGCGGACCTTGGGGTGCAAAGTTCTGACACCCCGCGCTTTGGCTTGCTTAAACCAACTGAATACAGAACAAGTGAAATCTTATATCATAATAAAAATGCACCCACTATATGATGCAACGACGGCGATGCTATAAAGCATATATCTGCTGAACCTGAAGCTAGTTCTCGGCCGACCTTTTGGGTGACGTGGCGTGCACCTCAGCCTCGTCTTTCGTGCATCGTAGGCGTGGTTTCCTCGTCAGCGAGACGTGTGACTTCCGCCGTGCTGCCTGCCTCGTCTTGTCTCCGACAACCGCCACAAATCTCCACACCCAAACCGCCAACCATCCCGCTAATCGCCACGTGGGAGAGAACACCATCGCACAGAATGTTTTAGTATGGCTAAGTACGTTTCAGAACGATTATGTGACGGAGTCTTGTACATCCCCCAATTCGACATCCCCTATGTTGCGCGCCCTTCAAGCCTCCCAACTTCCCCCGCAACCAACTCCCCCCACCCTCAACCAGCCGGTTCCCGTGAGCTCCGCCCCGCCTTACCGCACATCCCTTCACCTCATTAAACCGAACCCAACCGAATCAGAAAAGCCAATCTCCAGGTAACCGACAGGTATTTGACTGCAGCTGTTTGGCATTTTCGAGATTCCAGTCAAGACTAGAGCGTAGGCGAGGCGGTGCTAGGAGGGAAGCTGCAGTCGCTCGCTTGCAGCGGTGCATCAGCTCGGCCGGCCCCGCAGCTTCCTCAATCGCGCACGCAAAGGTTTCTTGTTCCGCGTTCCGCTAGCATTCCTCCGACCATGCAGTGATTCATTCACGCCTAGCCGCCTGTCAGTTTCCGCGCGTCGCTTCCCTCTACCGCTGCCTCTCTTGCCTCTCCTTCCTGCCTCGTCGTCATCGCACCATCCCGTCCCCAGCGTCTTCGCTCTGCCTGCCCTGGGCGTGTGTTTGCAGTGACCTTGTAGCGATTTGTTATTTATTGAATAGTTTCCTCCGATTCTCATATTGCAGCGTCACGCGTAATTGACGAGCCATAACTGCAGCGCTTATCCACGTTTGCTTAGGCACTGGACGGAACCTTCGAGATTACCGTCAGAAAGTTTTTTTTTTTTTTTTTTTTTTTTTAACGCGTAGGGCTGCAGAATCGTCGAAACATTTGGATGGCAAATTAAAAAACCTAAAACAGACATTTCTATAGAGAAGTCCAGTCGCCGGCTCACATGGCACCAGCGTTCACCGCAGAGACTATCCGCAGCCATCCCGATACACCGTGCGTTCCCCAAGCTCCGTTCCAGAAACCGCTCTCTCAGTCGGACTTAAAGCCACCGGCCGAGCCAGGCTCCGAAGCGCCTCGAGGCGCTCCGGCTCTCGCGGCGCAACAAGCACCAGTTGGGTCGAATTCAGCGCCAGCGCAGCGCGACGCCGGCGCCATGGCTTCTCCGCCAAACGAGAAAAACACGGCCGTTTGGGACGAGAAGAGTCTCTGGGACGACGCGGAAATGCCGCTGACGTGGGCTGTGGAGGCGTCGCGGCTGTCGCTTTCCATCGAGAACCCCATTCGCAAGATTACCGACTCTCTCGCCGGCGTGCTCGCCGCGCCTTCTGCGCCTGCTGCGTCTGATGCAGCGCCTGTCGCTCATCCGAAGCCGTTGATTTCGTTAGGTCAAGGGGATCCGACGGCGTTCGGGCATTTGAAGCTGCCGGATGTTGCAGTGCGCGCCGTGCAGGACGCTACAGCGAGTGGACGTTATAACGGATACCCGCCTTCTAACGGACTGCCTGACGCACGGAGGTACGCTGCTGACGTGTAGCATGTGAGAGGTATTGGAATTTGGCACTTCTTGGGAAGAGATATTATCCCAGTTCCAGTTGTTTGTCTGGACTGAAGAGCAGACATGCGGGCTAAGGTGCGGAAGGAAAAAGAAGGGAGACTGCATGGTGTAGTGCAGTCGTTTTTGTATGGAGAAGCCTTAGCCTTCATGTTGGTGAGACAGGTGCAAGGCAAACGCGCCTCCCTCCTTTCCCTCTTCCCCCCCTCCCGCTTCCCTCCTCTGCCTTCGCTCCGCCTGCTCCCTCCTTCCGTTCCCCCCAACCTTCTAGTCTGTAGGTTTCCCCTAACTTCCCTCTCCTCCCCGCTCGCTTTCCTCTCTCTCTCTCTCCTGTTCTCCTTCGTCCCTCTGTTCAGCGTAACCCCAACCATTACCTTCCACGTCAGAACAGCTGCTGAGCCTTCCCCACATCCCTCCACGGCCTCTCCACCGCCTCTCCTCCTCCTCCCCCCCCCCCTTTCTCCCACCCAACATCCCTCTTCTTCTCCGCCCATCCACCATCACAAGGCTGCGGCTGAACTAAGAGGTCCCTCAGAACACTTCCCCTTCCCCCCACTCCCTCTCAACGTATCTCTTACTTTTTCGTTTTTTTCCACCCAATCCCCTCCTCCCATCCTCGCCTGTCTACCATCACAGGGCGGTGGCTGAGTTCTGCTCCACGTCAGCTCTGGAAACGCTCCCTCCTGCCACGTCAGCAGGGTGCGCGCCCACGTGCTCAGCTACTGACGTGTACATTACTGGAGGCTGCGGGCCGTCCATCCAACTGTGCCTAGATGCGCTCGCCAATCCGGGCAGAAATATTTTACTGCCCCGCCCAGGATTTCCGGTCTACGAGTGCATGTGTCTGCACTCCGGTTTGGAGTGCAGATTTTACGACCTCCTGCCCGAGAAGGACTGGGAGGTGGATCTCGGGCAGGTTGCAAAACTTCGTGATGAGCGCACAGTGGCTATACTGGTGTGCAACCCAGGGAATCCCTGTGGACAGGTCTATTCTCGGCAGCATCTGGTGGAGGTGAGTTCTCAGCTATTTCCAGGCACATTTGGTGAAGAACTTAATGTTCTTCTGTGAATCCCACCCATCTCAGCCTTCTTCTCTTTTTTCTTCACTCATCCTCCTCTCCCTCTAATCCCCTCACCTCCTTTCCCCTCTACTAACCTCCCCTCCCCTCCCCTCTTCTCCTCTTTCATCCCCTCCCCCCTCTTTATCCCCTAACCTCCACTACCGCAGATCCTCACCACAGCAGCAGCCCTCCGTCCACAAATCATAGCCAACGAGGTTTACGAGGGCATTGATATTTTATGCACTAATGCGCCTCAATAATAGACTCCTCATCCCCTAACCCACTCATCGTCTACCCCCCTCTCGTCCACTTCCCCCAGATCCTCACCACAGCAGCGGCCCTCCCTCTGCCAATCATTGCGGACGAGGTGTACGAGTGCATCCCTTTTCGAGGTGCCTTACAAATAGACTCCTCATCCCCTAACCCAGTCCTCGTCCTTTACCCGCCCCCCTCCCTCCCCCACCCCCGCAGATCCTCACCACAGCAGCGGCCCTCCGTCTACCAATCATAGCCGACGAGGTGTACGAGGGCATCGCCTTCCAGGAAGCTTCGCCCTTCATCCCTCTGCGTGCGGCCGCCATGCAGCTAGCCCTACAACATCCACAACAACCCCAACAATCCCATGCCGACCACGCTGCCAACTCGACTGCAGCAGCAGGCTGCAATGGGGTGGTTGGTAACGGGGTGCATGTGGGAAAGGGTAACAGGCTTGTTGTTAGTGGAGAGGCAACACATGAAGCTGTGCAGAAGAAAGCATCTATTATACCAGGAGCGGCGGCAGCAGCAGCAGGAGCAGCAGCAGCGGGCAGTGTGCCGATACTGACAGTCAGCTCCTTGTCGAAGCGCTTCCTGGTGCCAGGGTGGCGGGTGGGGTGGATTGCAGTGCACGACCCTCGCCACATTTTGAAGGACGCTAGGGTACGTCCTGAATTGACTGAAAGGTCCTTAAAGTTGACTCATTAGGGTGGGGTGGATCGCAGTGCACGGCCCTCGCCACATCCTAAGCTATGCAAGGGTAAGCTCTGAATTGACTATGTCTTTTTTGGCTATGCACGAGGTTGTGGTGGGTTGCAATGCATGACCCACGCAACATTCCGAGGGATGCTACGGTAAGCCTCCTAGGTTCGCTGTGCTTTGTTTGTCTCTTTTTGTCTCTCCCTCCTTTTCTCTTTCAAGTTCCCCCTGTTTCTTCTTTTACCTCTCCATCCCACTTTCACTCTTTAATTGTTCCCGTCTCGGACCCCTCTTCCTGCACAAGTCTCTCTTTCAATATTTCTTACTGATGCAATGGTGCCTATTCCAATTCCTTCGCCTCCTGTTCTTGCACCATGATTTCATGCTTCCTTCGTTCCATCTCCCATGCTCAAACGCTCCCACGCTCCCACACTCCCATACAATCAGGTCATCGAGTCTTTGGAGCGAATCCTGCAGTACGCCCCTCAGCCGTGCTCCCTCATCCAGGTACGGTGTGAACCTCCATTTCCTTTCTGTATCTCCAAAGCCTTTTCCACAGAAAGCATTGAGAAGGTGCGTCACCTACCGTGTGCTTTCAGCACACATCTGTGTTTCTCTATTTTTTTTGCCGCTGAATTCGTTTTGACCGTTCCTCCCCTTCTTCCCCCTCTCTTCCGCCCCCCTCCTCGCCCCAGGCCGCCCTCCCTGCCGTTCTCAACACCACGCCGCCCTCCTTCCTCCGCGACCTCACCTGCCAGCTGGCAGATGCCGCCCGCACCAGCCTGTCTCGGGTCGGCGCCATTCCGGGCCTGGAGTGCCCCAGTGAACCGCAGGGAGGGATGTTCCTCATGGTATGTGGGTGGCCAGTCACTATGTATGTGTTGGCGTGTGTGAAGGTGCGTGCAGGTGTGTGTGTGTGTGTGTGCATGCGTGTCAACACACCAGCCTGTCCCGGGTCAGTGCCATTCCGGGCGCGGAGTGTCCCAGTGAACCGCAGGGAGGGATGTTCGTCATGGTATGTGGGTGGGCATTCACCATACGTGTTTGTTAAGTGTACTTGTACGGTGCGCATGCTCGTCCCCACACCAGCCTCTCGGGTCGATGCCATTCCGGGCCTGGAGTGTCCTAGTGAACCGCAGGGAGGGATGTTCCTCATGGTATGTGGATGGGCACTCACTATACTCGCGATGCATGCATGTTAAGTGCAGCCGTACCTGTAGGTGTGTTGCCGGTGTGTGTGTGTGTGTGTGTGTGTGTGTGTGTGTGTGTGTGTGTGTGTGTGTGTGTGTGTGTGCATGCATGTGTGTCCCCACACCAGCCTGTCTCTGGTCGGTGGCATTTCGGGACTGGATTGCCCCAAGGAACCGCAGGGATGGATGTTTCTCATGGTATGTGGATGGGTACTGGCCAATCAACACCATGCACGCGTAGTGTAGATGTAGCAGGTGTGCGTGCATACACTCGCTTACACCAGCCCGTCTCAGGCCGGCGCAATTGCGGGCCTGGAGTGTCTCAGTGAACCGCAGGATGGGCACGAGCACTAGTGCATGTAGTTGGGCATGTGTATGTGTGTGTGCACCATGTCTCTTCATCTCTCAATCCTACCTGAAGTCTATCGTTTACTCTCTCTCTCTCTCTCTCTCTCTCCTCTCCCCCCCTCTGCCCTCCGGCGCTCCCTGCATCCCTCTTCTAAACCACAGGTCCGTGTTGACTTAGCTCGCTTCCCGTCATTCCCGGACGACATTTCATGGTGTAGGCAGCTGCTGCAAGAGCAGAGGGTGGTGCTGATCCCTGGCACTGCGTTCCGTTTGCCCGGCTGGGTGCGGGTTGTGCTCTCAGTCCCTCCCCATATAATGTCTGAGGCCTGGGATCGCATTGCCGCATTTTGTGTACAGCATTACAAAACGGCCTAGAGTTTGCTTGAAAGTTTGCTTGATTCATTGTTCAGCTGATAGCTATCTCACTGTTCATACTTTTGTTTTGGCTTCATATCAATGTATAAGCTCCATTGCAGGCCACTTCTTACAACCTTCGGAAGCTCTTGCGGAAAGTGAGAAACTCAGTGACGCGTATGTTAAAACACGAACCTTCTAAACCCTACCCTAACGTTCTATGGCGTTAACCAACCGTTCTGAAACGCATAGCTGTTCTCGAACCTTCTCTCTTGTTCATCCTCACATGATCAGCAACTTTCTGTTGTGGGCCTCAGCCGCCGCTGCCCGAGGGCTGCGAGCGAGTTCACTGCCCAAACTAAGCTAGAATCTAGTATGTACTCAAATTCACTTGCAGAGAGCGAGTAGTAGAGGAGTCTGTCTTTCGGGAGGGTGCGGTGCGAGCTACTTTGGCCGTGACCGGTGTCTGTGGTACCGTTACCTTCGGTAGCCAGTACTCTCGTGAATTGGTAGATCCGTGCTCTCGCCTCGCCCTCTTGCCTCGCTCTCACACCTCACTCCCTCGCCACGCGGCTGCTGCCTGGCTCTCTAGTCCCCAGGGTTGTTAGTTCGTCGCGTTCGACTCGCCGGTTTCATATCTCTTCCGATCGCCGCGAGGTTTCGTCGTGCTGTGCTTGAAGGGCTGAATCCATCGCGGGCAATCATGGTAGGTCGAATTTGTACGACTTTCCTTCGAAATAAATTAGCATAGTTGGTGGTAGGTTGGAACCCTCTTCTTCTTTCGTTTCATCTCCATCTTCGAAGTCCCGTCCTCTCCTGCCAGGAAACGGTGCAGCACCTGCTCTTCTTCCTGTGTAGCACCTGCCCTTTTTCACGTGCAGGACCTGCTACATAATTCCCCTGTGCACGTGTTCCTCTTTTTTTCCTCCGTTCCTCCTTTGCTTCTCCTCGATCATCGCAGTGCAGTCCATTAATGGATCGAATCGCCGATACCGGCGTTGGACTTGTGTTCCTATCGTTCATTCGTCTTCCCTCGCTTCTCCATCGTTCCCTTTTGCTTCTCCTCCATCACCACAGTGCAGTCCGTTAATGGCTGGAATCCCTGTACCGGCGATGGACTCGTCTTCCTCCCCTTCATTCATCTTTCCTTCGTTCTCCTTCGTTCACCGGTCTCCTCGTTTGCGAGTCTCCATTTACTCCCTTTCTCGATTGTCGCAGTGCAGTCCGTTCGTCGCAGGAATCCATATCTTACCGTCTGCTCGCTCTTCTTCCTTTGAATCACGCGTTTTCTCTGTATCACCTTCCATTTCTTCCCTTTCTTCGCCTTCGCCGTCACAGTCCAGTCCGTTCGTCGCAGGAGTCGCGGTGGCAACGGCGGCTCTAGCGGCGCGGTACGGCATAGAGGCGTGGCAGGCCTTTAAAGCGCGACCCGCGGTGCCGCGCATTCGGCGCTTCTACGAGGGGGGCTTCCAGCCTACTATGACGCGACGAGAGGCTGCTCTGATTCTTGGGATCAGGTATGCGCGTTATTCATCCTTTAACGCGTACATCGGTCACTGGTGCCTCTGGTTCTTGGGACCGGGTATGAGCTTTTCGTGTGTGAATACGTTCATCATGCGCCGATCTTATCATGCATCCATTGTTGCATGTGTCCATCTTGGCGTGTGCCCGAATTATACCTGGCATGATACCTTAGAACCACGATTCTGCATGCCTGCCATCTGATTTCTTTATCACCATTCACTGTTGCATTCAGATGTGTTAAGAGCGTATCTTAGGTCTCCTCTACTCTCACATACCTACATCCATTGCAAGCTGACAAATGTAACACTTGGCTTACATTTACTCAACTTTGCTGCAATGCCTTGCCACATCACCCCACGTTTCAGGGAGAGTGCAGCGCAGGAAAAGGTGCGGGAGGCCCACAGGCGAGTGATGACAGCCAATCACCCAGACGCAGGTGGCAGCGACCTACTGGCGTCCAAGATCAACGAGGCTAAGGACGTGCTTATGGGCCAAAGCAAGGGCAGCGGCTCCGCCTTCTGATTGTGTGAGCTTCTCATCATTGCAAGAAAATCACATCATTTGGAATTCTTAAGGTTCAACAAGGGCAAGGATGTATGCATGGGCCAGTTCAAGGGCGGCGGCTCCGGCTTTGGGTTGCCTGCATGCATCATGTGATGTGACTGATTGGTTGGGGTCTTGGGAGGAGCACAAGGCAGCAGAGTGGGGAGTGGGCTCTGGGCGATGCTGTGTGCAGAGCTGACACCAAGCATTGCTGAGACTCAGATTACAACCGTTTGACGGGTTAACCGACTGTGCTGCTTTCATGCGCCAAGGGTTTTCAAGGCAGCCGAACAGTGAGCTGCACGTGTGCTGTGGATGGTAGCTGCTGGTCAGTGACAAGCACTGAGAGCGTGTTCCTACAGCCTCATATCAGGCAACCTCGTATCAGATTCGTGTCAAACCGCTCTAAAACGCATCCAACCGCAGTCGAACCCACTGAAACGTATTTCACCTGATACGAGGTGTGTCTGATACGAGGTGTAGGAACACGCTCTGAGTCCCCCTCACCCTGCTGTGACTGAAGTGTTGGCGAGAAGATTTGGGGAGATTTGAAGAACCCATCCGTTCACTCATGCTGTTCAAGGCCCAAGAGTTGTTTGAACATGCTGGAGTGCTGAAATGTGCTTCAATCCTGGCTCTGCTTTGGGAGAAAGGTGTCTGTATGGTGGATGTGTACAAGGCTGCTGGCATTGCCAGTAGATCACCTGCTGCTTTTGGTTAGGCCTCAGGGACTGCAGCAAGGCTCTGGTCTGGTTGATACGCTTACCATAGTACAGAGTTTACAAGAGAAACTGACCCAAACCAGACCCAAGCGGGTCTGGTTAATACAGAGAAATTTTACAAGCTAGATTACACCTAGGAAAAGTTGGACGAGCCCCAGATTGGAGGGAAGCTATGTGGTGAAGAGAGACAGGAGCTGAATCTGCTTTAGACCGGCTGAGAAGACTAGAGAGGAATGAAATCATATCCTCGGAAGACATGGGCTCGAGGGTGGAATGCCTTCTTTCAAGGGCTCACATCCGCCCTAGGCCCTCCGATGTACGAGTGAGGGTCCAATGAAAAACGGTCTGCCCTGCCCTGTCTTGGGTATCGGGCACTTCTTATTTCCGAAACCTTCCCTTAACCATGCGAAATCAAAGGCTAAGGGTGCATTCCTGTGGGGACACTTGTGTCTCAATCACTTTGTGACACCCAAAAACAACATAAACTGTGTTGTGTCCCAAATGCGAATCGGCTTTCGGCGACTTGTACTGTATTTATTATTGGTCAGCGTGAAACGCGCTGACATCGCTGTCGAATTGTGAAACGACCCGTCATTGTTAAAGAATCGCACACGACTCGAAATGCCCGACACGACCACATGCACCTGGACATCCGAAAATGCCAATTTTGCGAGGGAAAAGATCCCGCGCATCGAAACCACGCCCCTGCTCGGAGGTTGAAAATACGGGTGTACTGTCACCCAGTCAAATGCACACACCTGTACATCTCTTTTTGATCCCCGCCAGTGAAACGTGTCCAACTGAACCTGCCAATATGTCGCCCTACATCGCGGTACATTCGATGTTTGTGACACAACATTGGGAAAATTAACAGGCGCGACTCGGGAAAACGGGGATTGAGACACAAGTGTCCCCACAGGAATGCGCCCTAAGAGAAACTGACCCAAGCGCGTTGCTCGCCCCGACCCGCTCGGCATTCCCAAGGTGGGACATTTTGCGCCTCCGCCACTGATTTCGCTGCTGGGCCTGCGGAAACTGGCATAGCCGGCACCTCGAGCCTCGACAGGCTCCTGTTGTCGTAACCGGTCAACGTCTCGTGTCTCTCGTAACTTCTAGTCGCAGAAGGCTGACGTGTCACTTCTTCCCGAGTCGCGTGACTCTCCGAACTTGAGCTTCCATGCGATTGCTGCCGAGGCTGCTGATACTTCTCGGCCCAGTTTTTTTCAGGCGGAATTTCTCTCAGCCACGATCCTTGGGAGCTTTGCGTCGTCGGTGCAACTGGCAGGTGGTTAGGGTTAGGGTGCTCACGCTTCGAAACAGTGCTTGCTTTCCGCCGACGCTTGGGCTTCGGTTTTTGAAAGCCGGAGGTTCGGGAGGTAATCCAGTCGAAATCGAAGATGCGCTTTCGGCGGAAAGATGAAGAGGATGAGGTGGAATTGGAGTAGCTACCGTCGAGCGCCGACATTCGGGAACGGATGTCCGGGCCTTCCCTTACTCTCGGTAGGCTCATGTGGGAACCCATTCAGCCCAGCGAAGGAGGCGGCAGGCGCAGGAAGCGGCAGCGTTTGTCACGCTCAAAGAAAGAAGCGAGAAGGAATGCGAGCTCGCAACGTTTGCCACTGAAAAGATTCTGGTGGTAAACCAGTTCGAAAAACACTAATCTATGTGTATAAGAACGAGCGCTGAGATGGAGGAGGCAAAAAAATAAAATAATAGAAACTGGAGAGGAGATATCTCACACGAGTCAACACAAGCGAGGGCCATGCGAGACAAGACACCACCGTGAAGCGAAATCAGCAGTTCGAGATTCAAGGAGCTGGTTTTGCTGTGGTCATAACGGCAGGTAACTAGAGCTCCTTGACAGTTCATGCATAAATGTTGAGGCTGGTGAGTAAGTAGCGGTTCAGAGTGGTGAAGCGATAGAACCGCTCCAGAGTGCACACAATCGTACCTAACCTCTTGTTGAAACAGAGTGAAATCTCCTCCTGAACCCACATCCAGGCTGTTCCAGCCCAAGAGGTGGTTCGCAGGGCGCGCCAAGCAGGGAGGTGTCCCCAGATCTCTCTTCCATGCCTCATGAATCCACCACATCGCAGGTCCTCCTCAGGTGTTACGCGATGCGATGCGTTGCGACCCACGATGGTGTTACGGCGACGCAGCAGCAGCCCACCCCCACATCCACACGACCCCGTTACTGGACCACCCTCCTCCCCCCCCCCCATGTGGTTTCTTCAGTGACTTCCGTGGTGCTAAAAACTCATATTTTTCACTAAACATGCCCCTAAAATTGTAGGATTTAGCCAGCCTTCGGCATGAAGTTACCTTTGCTGTGGATTCCAGTCTGAGAAGTGTTTCTTGGTGGGCAAAAAAATGGAAACTAAAACATAAAACATGTATGTTGTGTAGGGCTGTTACGGGTGCAATGAATCGAGGTAGCGAGGATTGCACTAGAGTGTTCAAGGAGTACAAAGTATGAGCGAAGGCATGAGCGAATACTTAGGGTACATTCCTGCGGGGACACTTGTGTCTCAATCACTTTGTGACATCTAAAAACAGCATATACCGTGCCCTGTCACAAAAGCGGATCGCGCTTATGCGAGTCCCACTGTATTTTACATTGGTTGGCGTGAATTGCGCTTGTGTCGCGGACGAGTTACACGAGGCCCCGTCACATCCCGAAAATCGCACGCGTGTCGAAATCTCACACTGTACAGCATGCACCTGGACGCCCGAACTGGGCACGTTTCCGCGCGGGGATGGAAACCGCTCTGCCCGGGCTGACATATGACTGGTTGTATACATGCTGTTGTGTGTGGGGTGGCCCAAATTGCAACTTTCATTTCTGTGGCAAGCCCACCGCGATACTCGAGGTGGTGCGATATGTTTAGCCCCCCTGCCCGGCGGGAAAACTGGGTGGGCACAATCCTATTGGTCGCAACCAATAGTACGCACCCACCTGGCTGTGCCCATCTGTCGCGCAGGGTCGCGATACATTGGTTGTTTGTGACACAACATTTGGCAAATTTACAGGCGCGACTCGGGAAAACGGGGATTGAGACACAAGTGTCCCCACAGGAATGTACCCTTATACGCGAAATGTGCAAACGGTAATGCGGTGCGTGCGGGCTAGCTAGCGCTACGCTGGCGCGAGGTTCGGGCTAGTCCCGAAGCGTAGGCCGACTCGGCTGCTCCAGCAGTGTGAGGTTTGGTGAAACATTGCGTGCGAAGTTGGCGAAGTCCCGTAAGCAGTAACGGGCGAACAACGGCTGCTGCTGTACGCGATGTTGACGGTCGCAGTAAGGAATAGCGAGATAATTCCTTACAAGGGCTGACATGGTCTCGCTGTACCTTCCCTGCTCCCTTTTCCTAGGTAAGACACCGAACCAATCAGCTCATGCCTTCGTGGGCAGCTACAAGATGTGTCTGATGACAAACCCCCGAAGCGGGAGACGACTGGTGATACAAATGACTTGTACACTATTTTGAAAGATAGTACGAACCTTATTGGATGGTTTGGCAAAATTTGCAATCAAAATAAAGTAAGGGCTCATGTATTTGAAAGCTACTATATCACCCAAACAATGCTGAGGGACAGGTATGAGAAATGGGACTACGCTATTCGAGCATTGTTTTACACCTGTTTGCTGTGTTAGAATTTGAAGTAATTGAATAGGATCGTACTACTTAGGATGGTAGCTTCCTATCGTAGCGGAAGTCTTATATGAGTTAAAGCCTGTTATGAAAGCTTTGTCTGGACTTAATAAAAGCCCATGTAGTGATACGTTTCAGGATCAATGTCTCTGAAATCAGATATATTATAAAATGACAAACATACAAAATATATAACTAGAGTAAAGTCCCTGTTCGCCTACTGTACTGTGCTTTTCTTGTTCTGAAACGGTACGTAACTTTTCGCGAGGTCTATAGCTACGTGCTGACGTCATCCTAGGGCGCGTAGTGCTTTGCTGACGTCAGCCTATCGGTACTTTACTGTACTACACGAATTTCCTTGAAGTGCTTAAGTCTCGATATTATCTCAACACTCCCCTTCACTTCTAGGAGTTCGGTGTAGTTATCCGGTTGTCTCGGAAATTCCGCTGAGCTGGTTGCAGTGGTGGAATTTCTGTCGTGTCAGCTTCTTGGTAAGTGAGTCAGCTGCCATGTCACCAGTGGGACAGTAGACAAGGCGCATTCTCCCCTTGTCGATCGCATCCTTGACGAAGAAGTAACGTAGCGAAATATGTTTCGTGCGATTGA